AGACGAGAGACGTATATATATATATATATATATATATATATATATGCATAATACATGGTCGCCGTGTTCGTGTGCGTGATGGGGCGGCGACGCTGTAGAAGCGCGATTTCACCTGATGGGCACAAAAAACAGCCGCGAAAAAGCGAAAACAATGCCCACTATTTTTATTTCCTTTCTTTAGTGGCTTTTCCTTGCACGTCGTTACTCTGCTGTTGCTTGTGTGATCGCGGAGTGCGTGCCGTAGCAGCCACGATATAAAAGGAGCTGAAGGAAGCGAAATCATTTAATGGAAAATTTGTTTTTGTTTTCCTCCGTCTTCAGTGGGGCTCTGGGACTCACACGCCACGATCGGCGTACGTAGAGGTCGTTTCGCTGCCGTCCTGACCTCTCGCACACTGCGGGCACCCGGTGCGCAGTTCAATGCCAAATGGCATGCAGATTGTACCGTCAAATGTATATATATATACATATGTGTGTGTAGATTCCATCTCTTCTTGTTTTCCACGTCCGTGCAACGAGAAAGCTTAAAAAAAAAGGTTTTAAACAAGAGAGGGAAGGAGAAGGTTGACTGCGCGTTTCGTCCACGAAGTCTCGCACCCTTTCGTCATGGCAGCCGCGTCTCATGCCGCCCAACGCCGTGAGAGGTCGGGGGCACGCCAAAAGATAAGACCTTCGATGGGAGCGCGGATCAATTACTCTGCCTGTTCTTAGAGTGCGGATGGGAAGTGATTCAACGTTCCACTCGTGAAGGACTGCGCGGGCTCAGTGGTTTGCAGGGGTCTGCACTCACACAAGACACGACGCGTCGTTCTGCATCGCCTCCGTTTCATTTCCCATTCCGTATGCCGTCTCGATTGGGTAAGGAAAAATCCCCCAAAAGAACCACCGATACATGGCAGGGACGTCTACGCGGCGTACTGCACCCCTCTCTCCGGGATCGCGGTGCTTGCTGCTCCCGCAGACGTGAAGGAGCACTTTCCCGTTCCGTGCCTTTTGGCTTCTCTCTGCTCCTATTCGCTCCTCCTTTCACCTTTCAAAAAAAACAACAACACCCACACGCTCGCACGCGCGGGACAATGACATACGCGATTGAAATGAAAAAGATAAAAGAGAGGGACAGGTGTGCGAGCACAATCACAGGGGGTGCATCTCTGACTGCGCTGCACACTTCAGCAATTTTGACTCAAATCTTAGTCACAAAAAACCCAGCAAGCAGCAGAGTCGAAGCATTCCGTTTTTTCTCTTTTCCGTGTGCACAGCGTGCAGAGCCGTCTGCCCGAACCTTTCCCTTGCAATGGAAGCAAACAGCGACCACAGCGCAGATCAAGCGGGGGCGCCAAGGGAACCCTCGTCCCTTCTCGCCGAGGACGATGACGTGGAAGTCGTGTCGCTTCCTGATTCCCTTCCTCTCGATCTGGCGTCACGTGCGCGTCGTGCTGAGGCATCTTTGAATAGCGACGACGGAGAGCCTGAGGACGACGATGACGACGACAACGGTGATGTTTGCCGATACAACGAGGGCGTGCCGTCACCAACCTCTGCAGCCACCGCAGCTGCTGCGACAAGGCGAATTCAGTACGACCCACGTGATCACACGCAGGCGGCTCCGTCCGCTTCGCAAGTGAAAAGGCGCGTGTGGGTGCTGCCGCGTGCACTACTGCCACCGATTGCCGCGGCGTCGTTGCCGTTGAGAGCAGCAGACGCCGCCTCCGCCGCACACGATTGTTGCCGTGGCGACGACGGCGTCAGCTCCACACGCACCTCAACGCAGAGCACGTCTGCAGGGGCGGGCGCTGTACGAAGCGCTGAGGCAACCGTTTCTCTCTCATCTTCTTTTTCTCCTTCCGCAGGTGGGCGAGGAAGTGTAGGAGCTGCTGCGGGAGGTGGAGGAGGAGCGGGAGGGGGGTGGTCGGCTACGCAGCAGCTCCCCGCGCGCGCCGTTCGTGTACCGCACCCCCGACACGGCCAACCGGCCCTCTACCTCGTCCACTCCGACCCCCCTCCAGTGCCCACCGCTTCTTCTCCCCCCTCGTCATCTTCGCTGCTGTTTGAGATCCAAGCGCAGGCCCCGCCTGACGACTTCGCGCTGAGTTGGTTTGTGGGGGAGGCGGTGATACCCAGTAGGCCCCACAGCGGCGAACTGCTGCTGGTGACGCCGGTGGACCTGACCTTCTTTGCCATACATGAGCTGCTCGGCGACGCGACGGTGTACGAGCGGCTCTCGCACAAGTTCATGCCAGCGGGGGACCTTTATCGAAGCGGGGAGGGGCATGCGGACGCGTCGCGACCCTCGAACCGGCACGTTGAAGAGACGCATCCAGAAAAGGACGCCTACGTACCCCTGTTCGGTCGCATCGGCGGCGCCGATCAGGAGAGTTCACAGTCGTCGAGCTCCTCTCCGTACTCCTACAGCTTTCCCAATGCCCACCCCATCACCGATGACCGTCGTCAACGTGACGCGTCACACGAGGCAGCGGAATTGCCTCTGTCGGTGTCTCCGCACGGCACCCCCCACCCCGCGCACTCCAATCCCCTGAACACGGCTGCAGCGGTATCGGACAAGGGCTGGTGCGGCTGGGCACACGCGGCGATGCGCTACCCGCTGCTCTTCCACGCCTGCTTCGCTGCTCTGCAATCTGACACCGTGCTGCGTCGCCTCTGCGAGGTGCGTGAGGTTGGTGGAGAGGCTGGCAACGGCAGCGGCGGCAGCAGCGCAAGGGACATGTATTACCGCCCCTCGGAGGCGGTGGCGGTGGCGTGGCTGAAACGCAAAGTGGAGTTGCTGCGAGGGTCGTCCGTGCTGCGGGAGGTCTTGCAGCTATCGGAGGTGACGACGACGACGGCCGGCGCTGCATCGACTCCCTCTTCCTCCTCTTCTTCTCCTTCCACCGCTACTGCTGTTCATTCTTTACCTCAGCAGGTCAGCGCAACATCCACCACGCCAGCGTCTAAAGCGGCAGCTGAGGTGCCTCTGGCGATTGCCTTTGGCATGGTCGCCGAGTACGTGCCGGAGCGGCTGCATGACCCGCTGGCGGTGGCGTGCGGCCTGCCAGACCCCTCTCTTCCCTCCTCTGTTTCTTCCGTGGTGACCCCCTCTGCTGGGGCGAAGCGTGGCCGTGAGGGCGAGGGATCGAGCAGTGCGATGCCGTCAGCGGAGAGGAACCCGGCGAGCGGGGGAACGCCGTCTGCGGGGCCGAAGAGTGCGAGTGTGCGGCGACTGGAGAGGGCCGGGCGGCCGAAAGGGACGCCGACGCTCTTCTCCATGTTTGCAAAGAAACCAAAAGACGGCGCGTAGCAAGCGGAAGGATAAATACCCGGAAGGCCGCGGATTGTGCCGAATGGAGAATGAATCAGTAACAAGAGAGAAGAACAAAGCCGTATAGCAGAAGGCAAAGCACAGAATGACACACGCACGATGCCGTGAGAGCCGTTTCCTGGACGGCGGCGCAGGCAGCGTCTTTTGCTGGTGGTGATTCTTAGCCTTTCTCTTTTCTTCTACCAGCCACGTCGCGTAATTGCGTCCTCGCGGCATCCTCTTCGCTACGCAGGACCTTTCTTTCGAGTGCTGCTGCGTCGTCATCCTGCATTTTTCTTTCCTCCTTGGGTCGCTCTCCCTCCGCCCCCCTCCCCAAAGCGAGGAAGCAGCGCCCCTGCATTCACCGCCGCTTTAACTCCTTCTCCCTCCCTCCTCCCTCGCCCACCCGCCCGCACCCGCACAGAGTAGCTTCACGGCACTGCTCTTTCATTATTTGTTTTGGCTTCCTGGGCGGCGACGCCACAGCTGCCGCTAGTACTTCTCGTAGCGCGAGAGCATAACTTAGTAGCACCCTTCCCCATCTAGAGACCCACACTGAGCACCCGCTTCCCCTTCACCCTGTGCAACGCTCGCACAGCAAGTTAGCGACGACGTACGGCACCTGTACCGGCTTTTTGTTTGTTGGCCCAGGAACGAATACGCACGAGGAGAAAACCACCGTCGTCTAGTATTATTATTCCTTCTGCTTTCTTGTAGTTTGCATCGTCGTAGCAGCGTACAACAGTGGCCTCCGCCCCTCCTTGCTTTTTCTCTTCTACTTCAGGGTCTTCAACAGCGCCGCGTCGAACGCAGCCAGCGACTTGCCGCTCGTGGCGCATCAAGGGAGCGAGAGAGGGAGAGAGGGACACACACAACAACAACAACAACAACAGCAGCAAAGACGGCAGCGACGTTAAGTGGGCCTACTGTTTTCCTCTATCGAAATAAAACCCCCTTAAATAGCAAAGCAATCAAAAACAACAGGACCAACGGAAAGTTTATGGTGTGTCGAGGACCATGCTCCGCTCCACCTCTAGCAAACTCCTTCGCACCACCCCGCTGCTGCGTGTGTGGGCTGCCGAGGAGGACGACGCCAACGCGCCGCCGACCACGTTCAAGAATGTAAAGCCCGGCCGGCTGCTGCGGCTGTGGCGGCAGATCCGTCACCGTGCGTGGATCCTCTACACCTGGGATGAGGAGTGGCTCTCGCCCATCCAGGAGGGCTACCTGCATCAGCAGCGTCTCGAGCAGGTGTGCTTCGCGCCGCTCTCCGCCTACGGCATGGTGCCCGGCAGCTACTGCGACCCGCTGCTGTACAACACGAAGACCACCTCGCCGTTCCGCTGGCACGTGGCGAACACGAAAAGCGACATTGTCGGCCACTGGTACCTCGACGCTGACGAAATCTTTCGGCTGAAGGACTGGCAGCCGAAGAACCCGGACGACCCGCTTGAGATGTTCCCGCGCCCTCCGCAGATGCTGCTGAAGTGGGACGAGTCGGTCGACGAGCACGGCAACCGCACCTTCCGCTACAAGTACTGCTATGACATGATGGGGCCGACCGGCAAGTGGGAGGCCTACCCCCGCTACCCCTTCTCCCACATCTACCAGGGCAATCCCGATCACCACGGCCGGGCCGAGAGCTACGGCTTCAAGCAAGGCCACCTCCTCCGCTGCAACGACGAGGAGGAGGAGGTGCTGCGGCGGATTATGGAGGAGGAGGACAAGGAGTGGGAGATGGTGAAGCGGACGGAGGTGGTGCAGGAGCCGTGGTCGTACCCGGGCAAGATCCGCCCGCGCGACTTTGAGGGGGCGGTGGAGCGGGCGAAGGCGCGCTTCCGCGAGCAGATCCGCTACGGCAAGGAGACCGACCCGAGCGAGGACCCCGACTACGATCTCGTCCAGGCCGGCGAGTACGTGGAGCCGCGCGACGGGCCGCGGGCGGAGTGGCGCCACTTGTGGACTTCGAACCGCGCGCCCGGCGAGCAGCTGCCCTTTCAAGTCACCTTTAACGACGGCATCCGTTTTGAGGACAACGAGGGGCGCCCACCGGTGCACCCCGCCAGCCACTTTGAGGAGACCCCGAAGGAGGCGCCATACAAGAAGTACGAGGCGGCCGACGCAGCGGCGGCGCAGACCGCACAGGACGCCTTCAACGCGGCGAACGACGCCTCCTTTCAGGCGGCGATGGAGCGCCATCGTAAGCTGTTTGGTGATACGATGGGGAAGCCCACCGGTCCGCAGCCCCCGCTGCCGACGGGGTGCCCTCCGATGCAAGGCAGCGACGACAGTGGCAAGACACCACCACCACCACCACCGTCGGCCACTTCGTCTTCTCCTAGCGGCACTTCAGACCCCAAGCCGAAGAAGTAAGGATGGAAAGGGAGTGGGCAGTGGAGACTCTTCCTTTGATGGAGCGACAGCCGGCGAGCTGCGGACTGCGCTCTCGTCCTTTGTTTCCTCTCTTCTCCTGCTGCTGTTCTGTGCTGCTTCTCGATGCCGGTGGGGCTTACACGTTCGTCCATCCCTTCCTTTTGTTTTTGCAATGTTTGGTGTTCGGTGCCGCGAGTTCGTTGTGGATGTCGATGGCGTAGCGATGCCACGCAGTGCGGCGTGCACGTCGAGCTGCCATCTCCCCGGAAGATTCTCCTTTTCCCCCTTTTTTTTTAACGCTCGCAAAGCGTTTTTCCCCCGTTTCAGCGTTTGTAGGCCTTTTTCTTTCCTGTCCATTTTTCTTCCTTCTCTCTTCTCTTCTTTCACGTCTCTCTCTCTCTCTGTGTATGTGTGTGTTCGTGAAACATAGGAGAAGATAATTCAAAAAGACGAGGTGAGGCGTGCCTCTTCGGGCCCATTGAGATCTGCCAAGTGCGTGTTTTGCGCTCGGCATTTCACTCGGGGGGAGAGAGCGCGCGAGAGAGAGAGAGAGCTGAGTCTCTCGCGATTGTCTTGCTGTGTTAGCGATGTTGTTGGCGCTACCGTGCTGGCTGATCGCAGCAGAGACGCCCGTTGTTTTATACAAAACCAACGCCACATATCCAGACACAGATACAAAGCGGGACTTTGTCCATGCGAGCGCGCGCTCACTCTATGTACCGACGTGTGTGTGTCTGTGTGGGTTTGACGTAGTGCTGCAAACGGTGAAGCCGCCCTTTGATTTCGCAAACATATATACCTCTGCGATGTCACGCGCTGATCTTTCCAAAGCTCGCTTCTCGTTCTATTCGCCCTCGCCATGATGTAGTCCTTCTCCTCTCTCTCTCTCTCACTCTCTCACTCGTGTGCACCGGGACGGCACGTTCGTGTATCACACGCTTCAATGCAACCAGTTCGGTCACACAACATCAACAACCAGCTCAAAGGAAAAAGGTCGACCGGAGGAAAGGAAAGGGCCGTGAAGCGCGCTACACGAACTATTCAGGAGCTGCCAGCGTGTGTGCGTCTCTCGCTCTCTCCGTGCCATCCTCCTCATTTCTGCCGTGTTCAGAGCTCATTCGCATCCACAGAAGTTTTTCACACGTGCCAACACCGGAAGAGAATCGTAAAAAGCGAAAGAGGAAGGGAAGAGCGTCATGCACGTTGGTGTGTGCGGCAGACATCCCATAAAGCTGAATCACGAGAGGAAAAGCCGCTGTACTTCTGGGGGTATAACCATTTTCATGTAATCCTCGATATACACACACACACACGCACGCACCCTCATATTTATTTGTAAGTATTCTCTCCGACACCTCACCTCGGTCGACGGCGGGGACGCAGTGAAGATGAACCCCACCAGACAGACGCCGCAACCCGCCTCGTTGCCCTCCTCGTCGACCCACCTTCAACCTGCGGTCACCTCAGCACGTGCCTCCGCTCCGCTCCCTGCCCAGCAAGTCAGCTCCTCCTCATCCTCCTTGGCCCCACAACGTATAAGGGATTCTGCAGAACATGCGTGTGGAGGCCCCGCAAACGTTGCTGCGAGCTTTTCCGCGGATGACGCCGTGTCAACGACGAGCGCTGCTGCCGTGCAGGTCGGTGCGCATGCAGGCCCCGCCCGTCCTGACAAGACCCCGGTGCTGACCTCCGTCTGGCTGGATGCCAGCTGCTATACGTACGATACCCTCTGCAAGGCGGGTGCTGCATCCATCACTGTCGTCTTGGGCAAGCACGAGCAAGTAGCAGCAACGGAGGACGAGGGCGAAGAAGCAGATGCGCGTGCTCGTGTGGACGGCGTAGGCCGGGGAGCCAGCGCAGCGCATGCGGGTTCATCGTCCACACGCCACGGAGCTCACGGCGTACGGCAGCTGATACCGCATGAAATCACCGCCCGAAAGCGACCTCGTGGGCACCCAACGGGGAATCCCATAAAGGAGGAGACGAGTGACGAAGTCGATGGCGCGGGCGTGGCGGCAGCAGCTGCCCGCAAAGCAGGTAAAGAGGCGTCCCTCTTGGCGGGCAGCGCACCAACGACGACGACGCTGCCGCTGCAGCCCGCTGAGGCGGATGCACGGCTGGATGTGTTGGAGGAGGTGGAGCTGTGCAGCGTCGTCCCGAGACTCCTGCGCACCTTCGGCATGGAGGAGCTTGTCCAACAGGTTGTGCCGTGCACGGCGTTCATGGCAGCGGATGCACGCAGGGACGACGTGGCGGACAGACGTGGCCGTCGCTGTTGGCGTCCTCCTGGCTGCCTCGCGCGGCTACGAATGGCAGCGGACCAGCACCTCACCCGGCTGTACGGCCGCGCCGACCCGCCGAGCAGCCTCTTTACGTTACCGGCGGCGGTGGAGAGCGAAGGGGGTTTCGAGCAACCGCAGCCCATCAGGCCCGTCAGCGGGTGGCTGCCGCCTGTCCCCGCGTACATGAAGAACACCGCACACGACCTAAGCAGCGAGGACTTTGCAGTCGAGCGCCTCAGCCGCCGTGGTGGCTGCCGTGACGACCAGCGAGAGGGCGAAGGGTCGACGTCGTCCTCCTCCACCACGCCGTCGTCACCGTACTCGGTGCTGTTGACGACGACGGATGCGTGCACCGGCAGCGCGGAGCCGTCTAGCGGTGGCCCTTCTGCTCCGCCTCGGTCGGAAGGCGAAGATGACGAGGATGGGCACTGTGCCGCGGCAGTTGAGGGACAGCGTCACCGTCATCACCACCACTACCACCAACGCAGCGAGCGTCTGACGCTGTCACAGCTCGCGGATGACGTTGCAGAGGATCTGTACGAGTCGGTGGTTGGCTCGATGAAACCAAGTACGCCACGCATCGCACCCACACACGATGCCGCCGGTGGCGCCTCTGGAGGGTCTTCCAACAGCAACTCCGGCACGGAACCTGGCGAGGAGGAAGACGCGCTACCACCACCACCGCCGCCGCCGCAGCAGCAGCAGCAAGAGAGCAGAAGGAAACTCTGTTTCTCTTTCTCCGTTGCCCAGGCACTCTACGAACGTCAGTGGCGAGACAGTGCCGCTAACACGAGCAATGAAGGCCGCACCGACTCCACACAATTCGTTGCCTCTGTGCCAATGCCACACGCCATGAAGGCAAGTGGCAACGGTCGTGGAAAGGCTGTCCACTCAAGTGCGAGCGCCTCTTCTCCCCGTCTGCCCCACGACGCGGCGCCAGTGGAGGAAGGATTTTACCCTGTTGGCGCGGACACTCAAAAGCACGCCGATGGCGTCATTCACACCGAATGTGCAGGCAGCAGCGACGGCCACGGCGGCCACCACTGCAACGATATAAGTAGTAACGGTTGTGATCTAGAGGGAGACAAGGCTGGGGCCAGTGTGGGTGCGGCAACGGCGCCTTGCGGGCCCTCCACCACCACCGCACTCGCCTCCTGTGCCGCGCCTGCTGGTCTCGCCTTCGCCAGCCATCTTCTGCAGTCCGATCCCGCCCTCGATGCCTCCCCTTGCGACGCGACGTGCAACACGAGAAGCGACGCTTCAGCAGGGAGACCTCTTCCCTCTCCTGCCGCTTCATCTGCACAGGAGACGTCGTCATCCTCATCGTTGTTGCCCAACGACCCGTCGCAAGCTGTCACGCCCTCCACCGGTGCCGTTGTGGAGTGGGTCACGGGGGCGGTGAGTTACACAGCGGATACGGAGGGCATCCTGCCGGAACAGCAGTCCCGCGCTCAACGCTTCTTTTTTCTTCCTCCGCCGTCGCCATCGCCATCGTCACGACTCGCACCTGCATTCGCGCAAGACAACGTGCAAACAAGCGGCGAGCAGCGGACACAGGAGCCGGACGACAAGGAAGAAGATCTCTCGACGCTGCGTGGGGCTGTCCTCGCACAGCTGCTACGGCTGCAACAGCGTCATGCAGCAGCTACCGCGTATTGCCATGGCGATGCATCGCGTGTGCGCAGTGCTGGGCAACCGCCCGAGAAGTTCACAGGAGCGTCGGCATCTCTACGAGATGTGTGTGCGTTGAGTGCGTCTGGCCAGGCGGCACGCACGCCGACCCAGTCTGATGGCATTCGAAGTAGAAAGGACCTGGTTTCTTGCCGGGGCGGCGCGCCGACCACACGGATTCGGAACGGCATCCACACAGGACCCGACTTCCCATGTGCGTGCCACCGCTGCAGCCCACTCCAACTGCACTTTGCGCAGGTGCCGTTGATGGCCTCCTCGGTGCTCCTTCGATACCTCGACTTGCTACATGCTACCGCGCTGCCAAGCCTGCAGAGCCCCTGCCCCACGTCTCGCCGTCTTCGCAGCGGTGTCATTACTCGTGAAGACGCCGTCACAGCAGGAAGAATAAAAAAAGACGCGTCTTCTTCGCCTGCGGCACACATCAGCAGTAACAACAGCAACGGCAGCGGTCCCGTCAGCCGTGATCGCCAGCGCAGCCCTGCCGATCCGATCGACCTCGTCTTCCCAGCCCTGCAGCAGTGGTTCACGCAGACCCGGGAGACCGACGGCGTGCAGCGAGGTCAGCACAGCAGCAATAATCCGACAGACGAAGAGGCAGAGAGCTCACCAACGGCAGCGGTCGCACGTCGACGCCCGTCTTCCAACTCAGCACAGAAGCGAACTCGAAGGCGGACGGCAGCTCCTCTCGACAGCGATGAAGGCGCCCGCCTTGACACGACGCGGGAGGGCGCCGGTCGTGGTGTAAGCGAGTGTGCTCCTGCCCCTTTGCCTTCGGCAGACCTTTCGAGCGATGCTGCCGATGCGGCCTCGCTGGGCTGGATTGATGATGCGGTGTTGGACGAGACGGTGGTGATCGGCGTGGTGCCGCGCGGTCAGCCGCATCAGCTGCGTCTGGTCGCCCCGTCGTGTGCGTTTGTGCTGGCGCTAGTGCAGCGCCTGGAGGAGGTGAGCGAGGTGGCCTTCCGAGTTCTCACACACGTCTCCCTCCCGGCGCCCGTGCTGGAGGAAGGCGGTAGGTCCCCGTCCCGCTTGCCACATGATATGAAGGGTAACTGCTGCGGCAACAGCAGTCGAGCTCACACGACGGCGGTGCAGTGGCAGGCGTGGCTCGAGAACACTTACATGATCAGCATGTGGAATACCCTGCGGGAGGTGCTAAATGTGTGGGAGTGGTGCATGGTGGTACAGCAAGCTGAGACGCTGCCTTTCCTACCCGCCCCTTCCACGCTGCCCTCGCTGGACGCCGACGATGAATTCGTCTTTCCTGCCTTTTTGCAAGACGCCTTCCGTGACTCGTCAGAGTCGCGCCTCGGTGCGGTGACGGAGTCGATGGCGGACGCCGTACGGTCTGTCTTCGTCAGTGTGCGGTCGGCTGCCGCGTTGCACACCACCGCTTGCCTCAGCGCCGCCGAAGACGCCACCGCGCGGGTTATTCTCACAGCCCTGACTCCGCTGCTGCACCGACGCATCACCGTCATGTACGAGCTACTTCGCCACCTCGCCTCCAAGTCCCTGTACGCGTCACACCGGGCGCAGTGCGAGGCCTACCAGCGCTGGTACGCGACAACGCCCACGCCTGCAGCGGTGCTGCGCCTGCTGCAGCGCAGTCGTCGCTTTCGTGGCGCCCTCGCCCGGTGCTACCCGCAGTACAATCTGATGCCACTGCTGCCGACTCCGCAAGGAGTGGACAGCGACGCTATGTTAACTGCGAAGGAGTCGCCTGCGTCCCGTGAGTTTCCTGCACAGCCGTTGACATCGCCTTCTTCTTCTTCAGCCGAAAACGGAGTTCACTCGAGGCAGCAGAGCGGCTCCGTTGACAAAGCCGCCGCCGCCGCTGTCGTGGCTGCACCGTCCATGAAGCGCCCTCGCCCGGACGAACCGGCGCACGATGCCTCAAAGGTTGAACCGCAAGACGAAGAGAGGGGCAGGAAGGCGGGGCCTGTACCGACGAAGCTGCATCCGCCTCCTGCGCCGTTACGCGTCACTCCCACCACGGCAGCGGCAGCAGCAGCAGCAGGGTCGGAGGTGAAGGAGGCGTCGCAAGCGTCGCCTTCCGCGGCTGTTCCGTGGTCGCCTGTGCCCGACTCCCCGGTAACACCGGCCAGAGGCACTCGAAAGCCACGAGTAGTCTCACCAACGTCAACGACGACACGAACACCTACAGCGCCAGGGAGCAGTCCGCCCCCGCCCCTCTCGCGGGACTCACCCATCACCGGAGCCGGCGGGGCGACGGCGCTGATGTACGTGCCGGAGGTGGCGCTGCTCGACCCGCGGTATCTGCAGCGCTTTGCCTGGTGGACGCACCGCACTTACCACGGCAGCGGCAGCACCGCTCTTTCCGCTGCTGCGTCGTCATCTCCGCCCGCAGGCGGGTCATCGGCCGGTGGCTCGTCGTCGTCGTCGCCGCCGTCGCAGCAGCAGCAGCAGCAGCAGCAACAACACGCGCCCCACCCTGTCATGAGCATTCCAGGCGACTACTTGCGTGTGCTGCCGCTGCAGGAGCAAGACGCTGGCATACGCACGGTGCTGCGAAGTATGTCGCAGAAGGGCCGCACCCTAGACATGTGGGAGATGAGTCAGCACATCCAAGCCCATCGCACCACGCCTTACGTGTACCACTGAAATGAAACAGAGAAGACGACGGAAGATAAGGTGACGTCGCCAAGAGCGGCACAGCTCGTGCTGGGTGAAGAACACATTTGTGTTTTATAACATAATGCAATGATGCTGAAGGTGCACTGCTGAGATGAGGAAGAACGCATTTTAACCACCGCGGCAGTAGCCGCCGAAAGGACGGAGGCTGCGGGTGACGGCACTCCGCCCCCCGCTCCCCTCTTCCGTGGGTATGAGGAAACACCTGTGTGCACGGTACGCGACGCCGCTCACAAGACGATCAACGTGAAGAGGACGTCCTTCACTGCACACGAACGAACCGTGAACGATAATGTGATGCGGCGGAAGAAGAGAACAACGTTGCGTGTCTCGACCTGCTGTCTATTTTTTGTTTTCCTGCTCTCTTCTTCCCTCTCTCTCTCCCTCTCTCCCTCTCTCTCGTCCCTTTCTTGCATTGCGCTCGAAAACCGGCCCAATGTCCCTCGGTACATGCCGTCTCTGCCACGCCTCTCGCACTTGCTTCGTTCTTTCCTTCCTCCTCCCCCCCCCCCTCCTCCCTTCCCCAGGCACAGAGACCACTTGCTTTAGGTCGACATTTAGCTGGATCGCCCGCACGCGTTCGACAAGCGCGGCGGTGCACAGCTGAGATTCACGCTTCACTGAGCAGTACACATTCCCCCCTCCCCTCTTTGCCTTTCATTTCTCCTCTGCTTATTTGAAGTGGACCCGTGCACTCCACCACTGAAGTCCTCCGTGACAGGAGAGCGTACCGGAAGTCCCTCCCACACGCACACACGCAGACTAATAAGCCCAGCCCCCTTCTTTTATTTGCCGGACGATATCGCTGCAGCATCCAGGCTTTGTTCATTTCCATTTAGCCTTCTTCTTTTTTTCATCGCCATCATCGTCGTTCGTGCGCTCCAACCGACATGCAATGGAGAGGCACTATCGTGTATTAGAGCTCAGCAGGGGCGCGGCGACGGAGGCGGAGGTCAAGCGAGCCTACCGCAAGAAGGCCCTCCTTCTCCACCCCGACCGCAACCCAAACGGAGGGGAGGCCTTTAAGGCCTTGCAGGACGCCTACGAGGCTGCGCTGCTAGATGTGAAGCGTGGTGGTGGTGGTTATGGAAGGGATGAACGCGGCCCCGCAGGACCTTCACCGTCCTACGGCTTCTCTACCGCTGCGGGTGCCGCCTACCGCTACGCACGCGCGTCTGCCCCGTCACACAGTACGGCCCAAGACAACAAAGGCGGTCCGACGTCATCGTCTTCGCCGCACTTCTTTTCTGAGGAGGAGTTGTTTGGCGATGCGATTCCCGGCGGCTGGCGGGACGTTGGAGCGCAGCAGCGGCCGGCCTATCCGAACCGCAGCAGCGGCGGCGGTCATTGGAATAGCAATGATACCGCTCCGTCGTCGTCGTCGTCGAATGCAGCGGAGACGCACTGGCGGCGCGCGCATGGCAGCCGCGTGCCCGTCAGCGCCTACGAAGGCGGCTGTCCGGTGCCACCGCCTCCCCGTTCGAGTGCCACTCCCTCGTCCTTCCGATCCGGGCCGTCTACGGGAAACACCAACGGTGCAGCATCCACCACTGCCTCCACCGCTGCTACTGCTGCCTCAGCGACGTCATCATCGGCATCTTCCAAGTATACACCACCTCAGCAGCAGCAGCAGCAGCAGTCGGCCTCGTCGACACAGGCACAGTGGGAGGCCTTTCTCGCTCAGGAGCACCCCTGGCGGGCGTCCTCGCCCACGCACGACGCGAGCGCCGAGGAGCGCGCCTATCGGGAGGCAATGTTTCTCCACCGGCGTGTGCAGGAGCTGAATCGAAAGGATCAGACGACGCAGAACACGGCGTCTCCTCCTCCCGGCGGTGGCGCATTCTCCTCTTCTTCTACGGAAAGGCCACACAACGTCACTTCGGACATTCATAAGAAGGAGGAGCTATACCGGCAATGGCAAGATGTTCAAGCCTCACTGCACCGCAAGCTGTCAGGACAGGACCTGACCTCAGCGCACGCAGCACACGAAACGGCAAAGAACGATGCCAACAACAAGGAAGAAAGCGGAGACGAGCACAGGGAAACTGGCAACCGCAAGCAGCATCAGCAGGAGCAGGAGCAGCGTTCGGATGGTGCAGCAGCGGCGCACGCACCACCCCCACCCGCCTTTCACATGCCTCCCTTTCCGCGGCACGACAACGCGCACCGCGAGGCGCTCCTCAGCGAGCGTCGCCTGCTGCAGCGGGAGTACCTGCGCTACCGCTACACCCCCGCTCCGGCGGATGTAGGAGAGATGTCCGACATGGAGGTGTACCTCCTCGCCGAGCTTTTGGGCGAGGTGCAGGCGAAGGTGCGGGCGGTGCTCACGGCACGCCTGACGAAGGGGCCGTGCAGCGCGTGCGGCGCGCAGTCCCGCGATGCATCGCAGCGGCACTTTACCTGCGCCCACGCGAGCATCTGTGCGGCGTGCTACGCATCGGGTGTGCTGTCGTGTCCACTTTGTGGAGCCGCGCGGGCAGCCACGGCCGACGCGAAGAGCGACAATCCAGCAGGGAAAGATGACGCGTGAGAGGCAGCACATGCCGCTGCACTCTCTCCCCCTCCCTTTTTTCCTCCACACACAGGCTGAAAAGTGGCGCGTAACACGCGTTGCAGTGCTTGATCCTCCACACCACGTGAAAAGGAGCTGGTACGCCTCGAGACGCACTCGGCGACTCTGTCCCCCCTCTCCCCCTCTCCGTGTGTGCGTGTGTGTGTGTTGAACCTCTCTTTGTAAAGTGCCGCGATGTGCGGCGCTCTTCCCCTTCTTTCTGTATCTTTCAATGGAAATGGTGATTTGCCTCTTCCACCTTCAGAGGGCGGGGACACGCACGCACGCACACACGTCTCGGATATTCACATATCTGTGTGCCGAAGTGGGCGTCATGTACAGCAAAACGTCCACTTTTCTACGTTTCCTTTTTTTTTAACTCTTGCGGTCTTTATGAAGGAAGGGAATCACACAAACACGCGCAAACACACGATGATGGGGAGAAGAGAGA